GTCGACTTAGTCTTTAATGGACACGTAAGAGTGTCTTTAGTATTGTCCTCTGCTTTGCAGCTTATTTTATTTTTTTAGTAGAAGAAACAAGAAAAGGATCGGAGAAATATATCTGAAATGCTATTACACAAAACGAAAGGAAAGCCTACTGCAAGAGGCTAGGACACTTCACGAGGCTCCTGCCACCATAGGGTTCTGAGTCAAATGTATGCAGCTTCCATGACTCGAATACGTGATGCCCGAGTCATAATAGAGCAAACATGTAAACAATAAACATGCCAAAGTTTTTATCCTCCCTCGGAAGAAGATCATCCTAATTTTTGGAATCATTGTTTTGGATAAATAAGGTTTAGAATATCTTGACATCTTAATGTCTTAATAGAGTTATTCACTTAACTTTAAACAATTAGAATTGTTTTCCTTTAGTTGATTAAAAGAGCAGGTAAACAACTTTAGAAAGGATGTCATAACTTGTCTACTCTTGTGGCTTCGCTGTTGTTAGAATTTCAGTTGATGAATCAACTTCACTTTAGAATTTCATTTGATATTTCTTAATTTCTTTAACTTTAAATGATGAACTTTCATATCAAATTTCCTCTTTACATCTGCTGATACTAGATAGATTTTTTCTGCTGCTAGTATTAAGAGGTTTTGGCTTGTGAAAAGAGTTGATCCTCGAATCCCTACACATTTTGAATCCTCGTCTTGAAACATCCTGCTCCACCTAACCTTTTCTTCGAGTATGCTCTGTTGGCTTTATACATTTCTACTACTAGGTACTTGATTTCTTGCTGTGTTGGAGCTGACTTTTTTTCTATGGCTAAATTCTTAGGAAGATATATTTTCCACCCATCTTTCCAAAATCAGTATACTTTTTTTGTTATCTGGATTGAACATCACTCATTTTTCTGTCGCTCATTTTTAGCACATATATCTTTTGATCCCATTGTCATTGATCACATATCTTCTGATTATGCTAGGGGCATCTGCATACTATCATTTGCTAGGCCTCTAATTGCCATTTGTTACAAATGAATTAACTAATTTGTACATTTTGCAATTTTTTTTTTAGCATCTGTTTACCAATTCATGCGTAGAATGACTTTTGTGCAAAAATCAAACAGGTTCATGCTTATGAGAGGTCAAACAGAGTATACAACTATACCTTGGATCCCTGTGGTCCTGTCTATATCACAATTGGAGATGGTGGCAACAGAGAAAAGATGGCAATTTTACATGCTGATGAACCGGGCAACTGTCCACGCCCATCTATCAAACCAGATAAAATTGGTGGATTCTGTGCACACAATTTTACATCAGGACCAGCAGCTGGTAAGTTCTGCTGGGATCGACAACCTGATTATAGCGCATTTAGAGAGAGTAGCTTTGGCCACGGGATTTTAGAGGTAACCCCCCCCCCCCCCCCTCCCCCTTCTCTTCCCCTCTTTTTGCTGATAAATGTGTGCATACAGCTATTATGTATTTTTTTTAAATTTGTTGTTCTTTAACGAAATGTGTACAAAAAGATGTATTCTAGTTAAAAGTTAATAACTTCCAAGACAACAAGTGATCGAATTTAGAGGATTGGTGAAGTTCACTCTAAAAGTGCTAAAAAGTGTACCTAAGAAATCTTCTTTCCAACATTACACACACACACATACACATTTATGTAGTTGTTTGTAACGAAAACCAAGACTGGAACATTTTGGTGGCATTCTATTGCCATAAGTGTGGGGATATTAGACCATGTAACTGTGTCTATTAGCTTGAAATATAATGACCAATACGTGATGTGTAGGTGAAGAATGCAACACATGCTCTATGGACATGGCACAGGAATCAAGACATGTACAACAAAGCTGGAGATCAGATTTACATAGTAAGGCAACCTGGGAAATGCCCAGTTAAACGCCAGGTAACTAATCTTTGTTTTTATAGTAGACGACTTTTGAATGAAACAACTGGACCAAAACAGCAATTGCTACAAGGTGCTAGTACATTTGAAGTGACCGGAGAAAAAGAAGATCTCAGATAAAAGATTAGTAACAAATGATCTCAGGCATATGATAGTTGACAAAAGGGAATAGGCATGCATATTAAAGCATTATAATATTCAGTGGAAATTGGAGTTGGACTACTCCACTTTGAAGGGCTAGGATGACCTGAGTGTTTTATTGTTTCAAGGAGTGTTGGGTGCCAAGTGTGAGTGATATGCGTGATGCCCCCCTCGTGTAGGTGGGACTTTTATTTTATAAGCGCCCACTACTAGATTGAAGTATTGTTCTCGTATAAGTTGAGGTAGTTTGGTGGAGGTGGCGCATTCTCGTAACAGATGAGACAATCCCATGGTGACGTGCACGTCCCAAGGAGATCCCTCTGTCTGTCAGTTTTGGACTGAGTCTCTCATCATGAAGCGGCCAACTTGACTCTCTCTTAATATGACGTAATTGACCTGACTTAACTTCCTCTATCTTGTGGTGGGCTTGGCCTATATGTTTGAGGTAGGCCTGATCTGTGCTTCCGGGTCTGGTCTATATTTTTGCATTGGGCCTCTGAGGTGGGTCTGGTCTAGGCCAAGCCCATCATACACCAATATATCTACCTCAAAAGTCCTAAGTGCCTATATGTATCTCTACCATTTAAAACCTAATGCTCATCTTACCTCTTCCCTTTTTGTGGCTTTTTCAGTAAGGTTTTCTCCCAAGTGGCAAGCTCAAAACATAAAAAGGCATGCGAGCCGTCTGGAAGATTGTGAGCGGCATATGGAGGGTATAAGTTGCAATGGCTTTGGTCGTCTTCTTTTTATGTATGATATTAACCAGTGGAAAGAAAATAAAAGAGGCTAGTATTACAAACTCCATAGTTTTTACACTAAAAATATGGTGCCTTCAATCTAGATGTTGCCATCTTTTGTTCTAGATGATTGGCATTTTTGTCATTTGACACTTAATTATTTTCTTTTTTGGGGTTTTCTTTGTGCGCGTGTGTGGGGTGGGTTGGGGGGACAAAAAATGGGAATACTCCTAGCATAAAGGCAACACCAGTAATCTCATAGTACACATATTTGAAAGTTCCCCTTGAAGGAATATGCAGTAGAGTTATAACTTTGAAAGTTCCAGCACCTAACAATCTCTTTCATGTCCCTTTGATCATTGAGGGATGCAGAGAACTTGAAATCTTCACTAAGGCCAATCCAACATGATGCGATAACATTAGGGTTGGCAATAGGTCATGTAGTTTATAGTGTCTTAAGTCGCTTTGTATTGAAATTTGTTTGATTCTAACTCTTAGAATCAAACAAATTTCAATACAAAGCGACTTAAGACACTATAAACTACATGACCTATTGCCAACCCTAATGTTATCGCATCATGTTGGATTGGCCTTAGTGAAGATTTCAAGTTCTCTGCATCCCTCAATGATCAAAGGGACATGAAAGAGATTGTTAGGTGCTGGAACTTTCAAAGTTATAACTCTACTGCATATTCCTTCAAGGGGAACTTTCAAATATGTGTACTATGAGATTACTGGTGTTGCCTTTATGCTAGGAGTATTCCCATTTTTTGTCCCCCCAACCCACCCCACACACGCGCACAAAGAAAACCCAAAAAAGAAAATAATTAAGTGTCAAATGACAAAAATGCCAATCATCTAGAACAAAAGATGGCAACATCTAGATTGAAGGCACCATATTTTTAGTGTAAAAACTATGGAGTTTGTAATACTAGCCTCTTTTATTTTCTTTCCACTGGTTAATATCATACATAAAAAGAAGACGACCAAAGCCATTGCAACTTATACCCTCCATATGCCGCTCACAATCTTCCAGACGGCTCGCATGCCTTTTTATGTTTTGAGCTTGCCACTTGGGAGAAAACCTTACTGAAAAAGCCACAAAAAGGGAAGAGGTAAGATGAGCATTAGGTTTTAAATGGTAGAGATACATATAGGCACTTAGGACTTTTGAGGTAGATATATTGGTGTATGATGGGCTTGGCCTAGACCAGACCCACCTCAGAGGCCCAATGCAAAAATATAGACCAGACCCGGAAGCACAGATCAGGCCTACCTCAAACATATAGGCCAAGCCCACCACAAGATAGAGGAAGTTAAGTCAGGTCAATTACGTCATATTAAGAGAGAGTCAAGTTGGCCGCTTCATGATGAGAGACTCAGTCCAAAACTGACAGACAGAGGGATCTCCTTGGGACGTGCACGTCACCATGGGATTGTCTCATCTGTTACGAGAATGCGCCACCTCCACCAAACTACCTCAACTTATACGAGAACAATACTTCAATCTAGTAGTGGGCGCTTATAAAATAAAAGTCCCACCTACACGAGGGGGGCATCACGCATATCACTCACACTTGGCACCCAACACTCCTTGAAACAATAAAACACTCAGGTCATCCTAGCCCTTCAAAGTGGAGTAGTCCAACTCCAATTTCCACTGAATATTATAATGCTTTAATATGCATGCCTATTCCCTTTTGTCAACTATCATATGCCTGAGATCATTTGTTACTAATCTTTTATCTGAGATCTTCTTTTTCTCCGGTCACTTCAAATGTACTAGCACCTTGTAGCAATTGCTGTTTTGGTCCAGTTGTTTCATTCAAAAGTCGTCTACTATAAAAACAAAGATTAGTTACCTGGCGTTTAACTGGGCATTTCCCAGGTTGCCTTACTATGTAAATCTGATCTCCAGCTTTGTTGTACATGTCTTGATTCCTGTGCCATGTCCATAGAGCATGTGTTGCATTCTTCACCTACACATCACGTATTGGTCATTATATTTCAAGCTAATAGACACAGTTACATGGTCTAATATCCCCACACTTATGGCAATAGAATGCCACCAAAATGTTCCAGTCTTGGTTTTCGTTACAAACAACTACATAAATGTGTATGTGTGTGTGTGTAATGTTGGAAAGAAGATTTCTTAGGTACACTTTTTAGCACTTTTAGAGTGAACTTCACCAATCCTCTAAATTCGATCACTTGTTGTCTTGGAAGTTATTAACTTTTAACTAGAATACATCTTTTTGTACACATTTCGTTAAAGAACAACAAATTTAAAAAAAATACATAATAGCTGTATGCACACATTTATCAGCAAAAAGAGGGGAAGAGAAGGGGGAGGGGGGGGGGGGGGGGTTACCTCTAAAATCCCGTGGCCAAAGCTACTCTCTCTAAATGCGCTATAATCAGGTTGTCGATCCCAGCAGAACTTACCAGCTGCTGGTCCTGATGTAAAATTGTGTGCACAGAATCCACCAATTTTATCTGGTTTGATAGATGGGCGTGGACAGTTGCCCGGTTCATCAGCATGTAAAATTGCCATCTTTTCTCTGTTGCCACCATCTCCAATTGTGATATAGACAGGACCACAGGGATCCAAGGTATAGTTGTATACTCTGTTTGACCTCTCATAAGCATGAACCTGTTTGATTTTTGCACAAAAGTCATTCTACGCATGAATTGGTAAACAGATGCTAAAAAAAAAATTGCAAAATGTACAAATTAGTTAATTCATTTGTAACAAATGGCAATTAGAGGCCTAGCAAATGATAGTATGCAGATGCCCCTAGCATAATCAGAAGATATGTGATCAATGACAATGGGATCAAAAGATATATGTGCTAAAAATGAGCGACAGAAAAATGAGTGATGTTCAATCCAGATAACAAAAAAAGTATACTGATTTTGGAAAGATGGGTGGAAAATATATCTTCCTAAGAATTTAGCCATAGAAAAAAAGTCAGCTCCAACACAGCAAGAAATCAAGTACCTAGTAGTAGAAATGTATAAAGCCAACAGAGCATACTCGAAGAAAAGGTTAGGTGGAGCAGGATGTTTCAAGACGAGGATTCAAAATGTGTAGGGATTCGAGGATCAACTCTTTTCACAAGCCAAAACCTCTTAATACTAGCAGCAGAAAAAATCTATCTAGTATCAGCAGATGTAAAGAGGAAATTTGATATGAAAGTTCATCATTTAAAGTTAAAGAAATTAAGAAATATCAAATGAAATTCTAAAGTGAAGTTGATTCATCAACTGAAATTCTAACAACAGCGAAGCCACAAGAGTAGACAAGTTATGACATCCTTTCTAAAGTTGTTTACCTGCTCTTTTAATCAACTAAAGGAAAACAATTCTAATTGTTTAAAGTTAAGTGAATAACTCTATTAAGACATTAAGATGTCAAGATATTCTAAACCTTATTTATCCAAAACAATGATTCCAAAAATTAGGATGATCTTCTTCCGAGGGAGGATAAAAACTTTGGCATGTTTATTGTTTACATGTTTGCTCTATTATGACTCGGGCATCACGTATTCGAGTCATGGAAGCTGCATACATTTGACTCAGAACCCTATGGTGGCAGGAGCCTCGTGAAGTGTCCTAGCCTCTTGCAGTAGGCTTTCCTTTCGTTTTGTGTAATAGCATTTCAGATATATTTCTCCGATCCTTTTCTTGTTTCTTCTACTAAAAAAATAAAATAAGCTGCAAAGCAGAGGACAATACTAAAGACACTCTTACGTGTCCATTAAAGACTAAGTCGAC